TTGGGCAGAACTCGGAGCCTCAATATTTCCTTTTTCGTCAACAGCTGCGTCTATCGCGTCTCTTGGCGTCTCCCAACTTACATCTACATCCCAATGTCCACCACCGCTTATCGCTTCGCATTTCAACGTCACATTTTACGCGTTTTCTTGCTTCCTGTTCTTCTTATCTGTTTCTTTCTTCCCCTTCCTTTGTCAGTTTGATCTTGTATTCCTTTTGCTTCTTATATTCCCCAACCGTGGCACTCTAGCTCATTGATGGCATTGCAAAGTTCTTTCGAGTTTGTCGAGTGCACCCGCAGAGATATAATTTCATTTACGAGATTGCTCGATATGCACTGAGGTTAAACCCAGAGTCCCTATCTCCTCTCTTTACAGTCTCTACCGGCAGCTTAATCCGAATGCGACATCGGATTTTCATTCGTTCAAGAACCCAATAGGTGCAATCCCACCGACATTCCCTATATTCTTCTCTCCTCACTGCTCCCGATTCTTACACTATGGCCTTCCTACCCTCAGTATGTATGCGATTCTCCCTTCTTTCATTACTCCTCTCGCTTGCGCGATGCACTCCAGGGCCTAGTGCATATAGCTGGGCCCCGTCCAGCAAAGGAAATGAAAAGCATCCTCCCCTAGATGATAACAGAAGACCCTCATTATACACGAAAGACTTTGGTGATTGCTTGGGCAATTCTCAAATAAATATCACTCGTTTTGGCGCTGCTCTCTACAGGGACAATATGACGGCGGTATTTCACTTGCAAGGACAGACTCCCGTTGAACATGAGAACCTGATGAGTGTGTGCCCTTTGGCGATCTCGTATGATTTTTTTACCAGGGTCACTATCTAATGCGAGACCCAGTGTATATTAGCCTGTTTGCCTATGGCAAAAGCAGGTTCGAGATTATCCTTAACCCTTGCAGCGCGAATATGCCCAGGTATTTGCCCATTTGGATCCCCTAAATTGATATATACTAGTGGTTAATTGATCTCAACGGCGTAGCTTATGCCCCATGAATTCGAGCATTCCAATCGAGGCAAATGGCATTCTTCCCCTTTCGACATTTGGTATCTCTTTGTTACCCGAGGTCGCCCTGAAAATACCGGATTTCGAGGAGCGGCAGTTCTTCGGCTGTTTGCAAATTCTTCTCAGTCAGAAATGGGTTGCTATTCCTCCATTGTCACCAACGGTGTTACCCTTGCGCATCCTTTTGCAGCAACAAGTATTCTGGGAGTTTTAGTCCTTTGCGGCATCTTTTCATCCACCGCGTTAGCGATATATGGGGCAGATGTCGCTTTTATTCGGAGTAAGTATACTCATTCTCCGTCTGTGTTCGTATCATTTTCGATCCTACACCACATATACCTTAGCGGCGCACTGCCCCTTAACTGGCCAAGCGTGTTGGTCGCCTTCTGGTCAAACTTTGCCTGGTTCTCTGGGGTTATTTACAACGAAAAAATGCAAAATGCGATCAATGAAATTATTGGAACCCGAAGAGGGGACAACCGCCAGAGGGGGGAATCGTTAGCTAGAATCTCCAATAGTAATTCTAGACCCAGGTTCAATATCTCCAAAATATACAACAGAAAACTTCACCCGGCTACAAGCGACCTGGAAATGCCACAAAAACATTTCGGCTCTCTGCTGTTAAAACAAGATATTCTCCGTTCATCCAAGAGATCTCCGTGGTTTGGCACAGTTATAAAACCTGGCCTTCCTTTACCCGGAGATAACCACGGATTTGCAGGCACGCTTGCACAGGAGAAAATACCGACATCAAATGCCTTTCTGACAGTTCTTATCTGGTTTCTTATTTTTGTTTTTACTGTGGCAAGCGTAATGATCCTCATTAGGCTCATTGTTGAGGGTTATTGCAATTTGAAGCCTGTAAAAAAAGAACGGTTTGCTTGCTTTCGAAAGAATTGGCGTGCGTTCCTCGCTTCAGCCGTATTGCGGGCCCTTTTTATTGTTTTCTTTATGGCCACATCTCTTGCATTATTCCAGCTTTCTTTAGGTGGATCGGCTTCTGTCATTGCGCTCTCCTCGACGGGCTTTATTTTACTATTCATTGGTATGTGGACAATAATGGGTTATGCTGTATCGTACCGCTTAAGGAACGGCAGATTTGTGTGCCATTCGAATCGGTTACTTGTGGTTTGTACAAAGATTTTTGGGCACTTCCCCTGCTATCAACTGGCGAGACGAAGTCGTATGGTGCAAAGCGAAGAGGTTATGAAGGTTTTAGTGTCTATTCCTTGGTGGAAGGTATATGAAATGGATACAATATCTCCATTTATACATCAGACTCCGATTCACGAAGATACAAGGTTTCTGCAACAGTTTGGCTGGCTTTCGGCTTGTTATCGGCGATCCACATGGTGGTTTTCTACGGTGTGGTTGGGCTACGAATTTATACGTGCTTGTTTCATCGGAGTGAGTTCGAGCAATGCAATGATCCAGGTGTTCGGCCTACTCGCAGTCGAGTGTATTGCTCTTGTTTGCCTATGCTGGCTCAGACCCTTTGAGACCACTCGCATCAATATTCTGATGGTTTACCTCCTCGGCTTCAGCAAGGTGATTACTGTGGCGTTATCTTCTCTTTTCGACCCCCGTTTCAACCTGGAGCGAAGTACTACCACAATTATAGGGTTTACCATAATAATTACCCAAGGACTCCTCACCTCATGTCTACTTATCTACATCTTCCTTGGAATTATTTCCAGCTTCATTTCCATCACGCGTCATCACACAGAGCCCTCTAGCATCGAAGCAATCAACAACGGCACCTTTACTAGACTACGCAAGAACCGGCTGGTTTATATTGAAAGATTTCTTTGTGGATTATGCCGTCCTCGCCTACCCAAAACTTCAGAGGAGCCCGAGATTCAGAAAAGGCCTTCGTTCCATTTTGGCTCTTTCCAAAGTTGTCCTAAGATTGAAAACGCGGAAACGGATAATTCAAGCACTCGCTATTCAGCAAATCTGTCTGACATGGCATATTCATACAATTCTGAGTCTCGAACAATTCCACACCATCAGAGGAGCTACGATTCTATGAAAACGCTCCACAGCAACCCATGTCTTTGTCCTCGTCAATACAGTTGTGTACGCTCAGTTCTTACGTGCAATACGTTGACACCACACTCCTCAAGCCCAATCTCCCCGTTAGGGACAATCCATTCGGAGTCCCGCACACTCCATGAAGAATTAGCAGAGGATCCGAGATGGCAAGCGGCATACCAAGGTCTTGTTTAATGGGAACAGCACCGATGCCATGTTCGAAAATTTCAACTCTGCTTCACTAGCTCGTTCCCAACAAATTCCAACAGGTGAGTTGGAGCAACAGTGGTGTCGATACAGGCCGGATGGGATGACAATATTCAAGCTGGTTTCGGTGTACAAATATGTGAACGGGGAAACTCCATGTCCAATGGAAATATAAGCATTGTTATTTTCTATTACATTGTTTTTGTTCACTGTCCTGCTTTGTTATTTACTGCTTTATCCTCTCCTTGACCTTTCTCCACTAGTGATGCCAAATTGAAATCACGTTCATGCGGAAAGGGCCATCATCACCCTAGGTTTGTGAGGGTATTCATATGTGGATATGTAGGTATATGTAAAAGATATCATTCCCAGTACAAACCAATTTGAAAAATTAAAAAGCTTATGAAAACATGCTAACCAGAATATGGCATATATCACGGTAACATTAAAGAAAGCGGGTGATGGTAATTCGAACTTTGATAGTTTCAGGCCATTATCTTTTCAACTCTGTATGTACGATGCATTGCATACAAGAGAACAGTATAGCAAAAACGCCATTTATGCTCAAGGTGGTTCGTGACTATTCAGTAGCATGGGCTCGGAGGAGAAGTAAGAACAGAGCCGGCAGAGGGAAGTTTTGCCATTTAGAGGTTGCCCTGGAGTTCCCTTGTTTTTCCTCGACTTAATATCCATCTGGGTAGAAACAGGACCACGGTAGGTCGTCAAAAACCTTAGGAGAGCATAACAAAGCCCGATCGGACTTGGGTATAAACTTCACCACTTATTTGCAAGAAGTGGTACAAGTTAACTGGATCTTTTGAAGAGCGCATACCTCTTCTCAATGTGATGTTCTTGAGACTGAAAAACCATTTTATAATGTTCTACCAACCTCTGGATAAGAACCTGGGGTTCCACGGTCGTTTCCTCTATCAGGTTTGAAGTGGGAGAATACTGAAAACATGTATGCAAGACTTCAAACCAACTTAGGGTTGGATATAGCGGAGAACTAGAACGCTTCCAATTGAACGTCAGAAATCGAAGAATATCAAGATAGAGGCAGGCTGTCTGCGGGATATGTCATATCTTTTACCACCCGGTAGGGAAAAAAAACTGCATTTTGGCATCCTTAATGACACCCCTGATTCAGAATAGGATCCCGATGTGAAAAATACCATCCCCCAAATGGGCCCACCTCCCTCTCTCCTGCAAGTTGTATTGGTATGACTACCCAATTTTTGCGTGACAGGATGATTCTTGAGTATATGTTACAGTGGACAATGTCGTATTTGACCAGACATAGGAAGAAATGTCATGGGTCCAATGATCGACAATTATACATATACATACCTAGGTATAATATATGAACTTTCAAAAGCCAATCTTGTTAAAGGGCTCAACTTCAACGACATAACTGGAACTAAAACTACCCTTGTATACGCAGCCTTTGCATCCAGAGACAGCGTATCAGCTTGTCTATGTATACTTTTAAACATGCCATCCAAGTTGCCAACTCGGGAATCCCAGACGCAACTTCAGCTGAGGTAGGGTGATTGGCCAATCATCTAGCATTTGAAGGAAGATCTGTGGGTTAGCAGTGCAGGTAAATCCATCATTTATTTTATAAAAGCGGGTAGAAGCCTGCTAGTGTTTGCAGTGGTGACAGAGTGGCGAGACTGGATCTGGGTCCAGAGGGGAATGAATGGTTTTTCCATTATCTTGACAAGATGAACTGCTCCAAAATTGGAATTAATGAAGTTTCGAAGCTGATACTGAACAGATGCTGGTAAATTAGCAAATACCAAATCAGGCAAATGGCACAAAAGGAAAACCTGGTAAAGGTACCAGTTAAGTTAACATTCTGCCAGCTAAACCAACAGCACGCTTTGTATAGAATGCAAACCAATAAGGTAACAGCTGAAAATACTGAAACATGAATGTGGATAAAATTGACTGATGGGAGAATGACAGAGTGGTAGTTCAAGCATTATCATCCCTCCTCGGAACAGGTTCGGATTTCACCACCGGAGTTCTCCGCTCCAAATTAGGTGGCTCGGGTGTCAAGCGGTGCATTCCATGAGTGTTTTGCAAATCTAAGCAAATTGGCCCCGTTGGACCGGCGCAAACCTCCTGGTCCAGGGAAATGCTGGTAAAAGTAGTCTTCCAGAAACAACGAATGCGGGAAACGTAATCAATGCCAGAAGGCGCAGTGTATGAAAGCGATTTAAGGTGTCTGTAGCCCTTGCTGTGTTCCGTCGGTTGGGTTCTGGGATCACTACTACTCTACGGACAGGGGTTAAGAATCGCGCCTCAACCGCCCTTCTCAAACTCGACCATGCAGCAGATCAAAGGGGGTCAATCCAACGCCAAGTAATATCTGAACGTTCTTCAGTCAAACCTGTCTCACCATTTCAGAGAAAGGGCGATAAGTCCTGTAGAGGAAAAAGCCAAAGATTCCGATACCTTTTTCACTTTCGGGCACCTGATTCTTGGGCACGAGATAGTAGTTGTCCCTTGGAGAAAAGGTGACATGGAATGGTGACTCTCTAACACCCCTGGCAGCTGTTCAGAAATAGCCCTGTAGCTGAACAGACGATGATACCTTTTAGCGAAACTAGCTAGGCAGAACAGCACACATCAGAATAGACACTAACTAGGATAATTAGCCTGATTCTCCAATACAGAAATGAACATTAGATTCTAAAAGAGTTTGGGCCTGAGAAATGCCTTTGCTTCTCGCAAAAATTATCTCCAAAGGTTGACCGCAATAGCTCTTTTAGAGTCCAACAGCTCCAAGGATGCCAAAACTTTGGTCATTGGGATTTGGAGGCCAGGATATAATCTGTATAAAATGACCATCATCGCTACACCACCAGGCGTACCGTGTAAATAGAGTCGTTATTCCAGCCGTAGATCTTCCAAAGATCTCTTCGAGAACCTGAAAATCAATTTTGGTCGAACCCATCCCATGATGCCTTGCTTGCTGGACAGGAGGCCGGCTGGAGAGATCTCATGGCAACCCTTCCCCTTGGCGTAACAGAAGAAACTGCCTTTTTTAAGTCTCAATTCCAGATAAGACATGAGCCCAATACCCATCAAACCCTGTTGACTCTCGATTCCAGTCCCTTAGCAGAAGGGAATCTGGTTTCTTTCTCTTGACCAGAGCATGAAGGCTGATGGGTCACATCCATCGCACTGCCTCCTGGCTTGTTCTTTTCCAAAGTTCACGGGGACTTTCGTGTTCTTCTGCGGGTCTAAATTAGAGCAATATTGGATAACACCAGGTGCAGTCTGAGACAGGGTCCATCCGTTTAGCGCATCTCGCTTAGAGTTCTGGGCAAGCCAAAGCTTGCCAGTGATTCGGGATTTCTCCGACCCGGCATGGCGTATTGCGAGGGCCAAGAGAGGCCAGAGCGGTGAGCTGGTAGTTTTGTAGTTGAGTTGGAGCAAACGGCCAACCAACTTTCAAGGGGGATGATGACCCAAGAAGAAGAGGGGGGGGGGGGGGGGGGGGGTTCTCTGCTGTCTCCCAACAACTGATGGCCCCGTCTCCGTCTTGAGAGTGGAAAGGAGTATACGGATGTCGTTGGATGTGTATAATATGGAGTCGGATAGATGTGACAATACATGAAATATGTGGATGGACCCATTGATCGATCCATGGATCCACCAAGGGCATGATTCCACAGAGATCCGTGGATGGATGGATGCCATCTCCCGGTGGTTCCTTAAGCGTCGTTCGGAGTGCCAACTCTCCGGTAATTTTGTTAAAAAGGATTATGCATCAGAAGCTCTTCTTAATAGTTAAGTTTAATTCTAATTTGAACAAAAGTCTCAGGAGAGCAAATAAATTCCAATGAACCTAACAACAGACTACTTCCTCCTAGAGTCTGAGTCTGCAAGAAGGAAAACATGCCAGCCATCATTGTATTTAGTTTTGCCGAAATCACAATGGGTTGTTGTGAAAATTGGACGATACGAGGAATCAGCATACGTACGGAGCTGATGATGTTGAAGAAGGATGCCCCGGAAGAAAACTGCTAAAGAAACGACATCCGGGGACCCGCTGGAGACCTCCACCCATCCATCATCCATCTACTTAATATGGGGCGGTGGGCGTACCCAGGAACGTACCAGCTGCTCCTCAGAACCTAGGTCCGCACTGTCAGCCTTCAGTCCTCCCCACGTGAAAGGCAAATCAGTCCAAGGTTGGCACTAAAGCGCCCGGACCCTAAATTAGAAAAAGGTGGCTGTTCATGATTCTCCTGCATGGTGCTTAGTGGCAGCGACAACGGACGAGCTTGGGGACCAGAGAGTTGGGCCGTGAGGGTCCTGACGAATCGCTTCCTCCCAGGTAATTTCGGTTAAGAAAGTATATAGGAGTTGGTTGGTTGCAGATACTTTTCATCTGCGGAGAAACAAATAATGTGGAACATTTTCGTCCGTCTAAGCTTACAGTAGTTGCCGCCGTCCGCTCATGGCCAAATGGAAACAATCTCTCAGAGGGCTAGGGTTTGCTTTTCTTTTTTCATTTCATTTCCCTTCCCTTCTCTTCCTTTCCTTTCCTCTCCTCTCCTTTCTTTTCTTTTCTTTCTTCTTTGGTGAATCCATGGATCCAATCATGTCTTCATCGATAACGAGTCAACAATTTGGGCGTCGATTGTGACAAGTGGTGTTGCCGTGGCTTGTTCATGAGACAGCTCAAAATGCCATCTGGAGGGAGAGAACTCCCAGCCTTCGTTTAGTTTATGGTATCTAAAGTTTCACACTTTGGGGAGCCAAGTTGAAAACGTGCTCTTGTTGTGACACGGGAAGCTTCGCAAGAAAATAATAATGTTCACGGAGATTGTGATCTGCAATCCTCCAACGGCGCGACTCTGGTCAAACGATGCTAATGCCGACCATCTAGATTAACGGAGCTCAGAACATGAGCGGTCAGCAACGAGGAAAGGACGCATCTGTACGATCTGCATTTGAGCTGATTCACGTTGCCCCTGATGGCACGAACATTGATCGAGATTATAATAATGATAACGGGGAGGTGGTGCTGCTGTGGCATACGACTTCGTGCCCAACATCATGAATGTTAATACTGACGAGGAAACACCGGATTCGTCCCTGTCATCCCAAAGTTATCATGTGCTTCGCATATGTCTGGGCGTTGGAACGTGCCAGTCGAGCGCTGGATTGTGCCGAATATCCACAACATTAATAATGAGCCCCGAGACGGCATGATCAGGCTAAAAAGAACTTCGCGGGAAACGTTGAGATGGCAATCCAAAAGCTAAAAGGAGTTTGGAGTTTCCGTGATTCAAGAAAATCTGGTTGGTGGATTTCCAGGGATTCCAATACGGTTGGATACTTGTTTCCCATGACCCAAGAGCCCTTTTCCGTTGAAGTTGAGCAGCGAAGTGGCTTATGGTTCCAAGAAGATTAAGGTATGAAATCATTCTAAAGGAGAAAAGAAATATCCCATCGCAATCCTGAGAGAACTGAAAGTTTAAGCCTTCAGGGAAATAATCTGATTCCTTGCAGGACCCCGATTGTTTTCAAACCGACCAGAGAAAAAAACGCTATGGTCAAGACCAAAACCCCGTTGGCAATTGCTCATACCACTCGGAATAACTAGATAACTAGGTAACTATCCATGGATAGTACAAATATACTACGTCTGTAAATGTACATCCCTTCCTTGCAGTATGGAGCAGTTAGTTACGAGGAGAGTCCAATTTTTTTTTTTTTTTTTTTTTTTTTTTTTTTTTTGTTTTGTTTTGTTTTAAATTCAGCGTCCTGCGTCCTGACCACCATGCCGCGCCCTGACCGCGCTCCTGGTGTGCGCAAGCGGGCGAACGGGTGCAACCTTTTACACACTACAACCAGCACAAAGCCCAGACAGACATCCATGGGTGGTTTCTTGGTATAGGACACGTGGGATGATCGTCCCATGTGCCAGTGGTGCCGCAGAGGCCCATTTTTTTCAGTTTAGTGTTTGGACCGGGGTGACACTTCTCAACCTCCAGGCTCCTCCTCAAGACTCCAGAGTCATCACTTGTGCCCACACCAGCAGGAAATAAAATGTCGAACCACTTAAAGCCCTTTCCTTTCCGAGCACTTTGTGGTGTGCATGTCGCTCTTTTTCATTTGACGAAACTGATTGATTGATACATATGCAATAGTGCGTATGAGGCGTCATTGTTTCTGAATAATATACTTCGCGCTATGATATCATGGTCCGGTCCTCAGAAATGAGGGTAATAAATCTCTTCGGACGCTAAGAACCAAGAAGTTGTGCCAAGCAAAAAGCCCAAAGATTCCAAGGTCCAAACACGATTGCTGAAAGCCTGAAACACGAGAGGATCGCTGGATGAGCCAACGCTAGCTGATGATCTTCTCTGCGTGGAATGAGCCATGGGCCATGGCGGCACAGGGATCGCCATGGCAGGCTGGCAGCCATCGTCCATCCAATCAGAACATAATTTATTGGAGTTTAAATTGTTCACCCCCCAACTTTTGGATATCACATTATGTAGCCCCTAATCCCAAATAGGTACACATAGACGACAAAATTGCTTACCAGCCATTCGGAATATACGAGGGGCGTTGAACGGGCGGCAGCTTCAAACCGTGGCAAGAAAGACAGCAACGAAGAGATAATCGTCAAACCCCCATGTCATCATATTTGCGACAATAATCAACAAAGTTTACTATTCTTATAATGTACTGTACGATGACCCGCTAGAAGAGGTATTTTATGAAAATGAAAAAAAAAAAAGGATCCGAAATCCTTCCACGGAATTTTGTTTCATTGTTGTGCACTCAACCACCTTTTTCCATCGAAATCAAGGCAGAGGAGGTGGGAATATGGCCTTGCCACTCCAGCCGAATTTTCAACCCAGATCTTAATTATCTAACGCTGTCACCATCTTACATCCTTCATGCTGCATCCTACGGAAGACCAGACTCGGGTTTTTTTTTTTTTTTTTTTTTTTTTTTTTTTTTTTTTGTTTATAAATGATTGGTCATTGTGATCGGAGAAATACCTCCATTCACATACCCCGCACGCAGCCTGTATCAGAGATGTGATGATTTTATCCCTCCAAACTTGTCACCTGCATAATAACTCTCACAAGAGGCTGAAAGGCCCAAGGTTCTGTAGAGGAAGGAAAAATGAACTGCTCGCTTGTGACAGAAAATAATTGCTTGTGAGAGATGCACTGCATTTCATCATCATCTTTCTTTTTCTTTTTCTTTTTCTTTCTTTTTTCTTTTTTTCTTTTTTTTTTTTCTTTTCTTTTCTTTTTTTTTTTTTGGTTTTAATGGATAACTCTGTTTATCTCACACCTCGCTAGTTATCTAGCTTCGTTCAAATTTACTGGGCCCCTCACAAAACAGTTTTCGTCCTATTGATATTTTACGGTTCCTCCAAGCTTCCATAATATTGATTTACACAAAATAATTGAAGATAGCAAAAATACATCTGGCAAAACTACGTCTAGAACTTTCTGTGACGTTCCAATAAGTTTCACCACAATTTCAACTAGTACTATTATTAAATAATGTACTGCTTCACTCTGGAAGTATGTGTCGGTTTGTTTTAAGTTGGTCAAAACCTGCCGCTCTTTGCCAGATTCGGTGACAGATGTCATTATGATATCACGGGAAGGGGGCGGAATGAAAGGTCCTTGACATGCTCAAGGTGTTCTGGAGATTTGTTTACCTGGAAGGATCAAAAGCCGCTAGAACGTGGTATTTACTGTGAAGATCGAGCCGGAATGGCTCTCATACTGACATCACAGGCTGATCATAGGTCAAGGACAAGACGAGTGTAGATCAAGCACATGGTTCCCTATTTTCTGGTTTCCAAGCATCATCCGGACCGGACCACTCACCTGCAAATACCAGCAAAGGCCATCGTGTCCTGCCATCAATTTTTGCAAGTCGATTTGAGCGGAAACACGTCAACAAGAGGCTCTAGGCCAGAGTAGTGTTAAATGCCTTCTCCAGGACAGGGATGATGTGATCAACAAACTTGATAATCAGGGTGCATACAGCCGAGAAAGCATCCACATGGCATTGTTTCGCTTGCGATAAGTAAGACCTGGGAGCCCTGGCAGCGTAAAATATATGATCAGACTTTTACTGATATCTCCGTGGCTTGAAGGAAGAATGCTCTAACTTTGGGACGATGTTGCAACATAAATTGCCTCGGTAGCTAGGTATTCTCCGTGCCGACAAGGTTTAAGTTAAGGGGTAAAAGGGGACTACGCCCAAACTCTAACCTTGCAAACAAACTTCTCTCCTCTGCATAGTAACAGCTATTAACTCAACTGCTCCATGAATTTACGTACGTCCTGTACTTGAAAAGGAAGAATAGTTCTCCGTCTACAAGTCAAGCAATTAACACCAGAAGGTTTTACGCCAATTTTGCTACCAGGAACTAACTTCCCTGCAGATGATCCCAACGGGTCCTCCGTTATCGTCCAATCAGGAATACATTTCTACATGTGGACTCTACAGTTTAATGAGAAGTCAGTGCTGGTGGGGAGGTTGGTTGAGACAGATCCTTCAATACCCACATCTAGTCCGGTTGATTTGTCAATTCTGAGCATTTTAGTTGTGAAGTGTTGAGGCTGCAACACACGGTCACCTCCTGGTTCAGAGACTCTTGGGTTTTGGGCGGTTTGTGTTTGGTGACTCTGTTGTATTCACGTTTTGTCATTGAGAAAGTGATTTCATTTCATGGATGGTTTCAAAAGAAAAGGCTCTCATTTTACTGCGTCTTTCTTCTCCTTGCGCGGTATGGAGTAACAGAGGGAGGAATCGATGGAAGAGAGGAGATTGTGGTTCTGTGTTTCCTATGTCTCTTGAAGCTGGTTGGACTAGTGTGAACAGCCACACAAGGCAGACTCAACACATCCAGCAAATTTAGCTACTCTTTATATGTGTTGGAGGTTGATCTTTGCACGAGATTTCACACCTTCTTTGTAAATGGACTTAACTTTCAGTTATTTTCAGGGAGTTAGGCGTTTGGATGGTAGGTGCACCGACTGACAGATAAAGGGGGGATTAAACCGCTCTCAAGCATTTGTGGACCTCAAATACCATCGCTTGCTTCCAGCCTTCAACGACATATTAGCTCCATCGTTCTAGAGGACAAAATCATGGCGATTTTATTTTGTGGCTAAACCCGTGTACACCTTTTCCAGCCACAAAGAACCCGCTGGACAGTTGGCTTGAATGGGGGCAAGAGATGAACATTTTCTCAGCCAGCGTTCATGTTCTGTGCGACTTGCGATCCGCACTAAATACAAATTTTCTTGATATAAAAATAGCCGTCAATGATCGACCTGGAGTTTCGAAGAAAGTTCATTAGTTCAAGCATGAGCACGGCAACAAGTATTATCGATCACGAACCGCCACCATATGAATCAGAGATGTAAGTGATACATAGCTGTGCAAGGAAAGGGACCAATCTGAAACAATGGGACGAGTTCAATGTTTACTCCACCATACGGAGACATGATTTATTTTGCATTTCGTTGTTGGGTAGTGTCAGCTCAGTGGGTTCGTACTGTTTTGCAATTCGTAACGTATCGGAAGACTTTCTACCCACCTACATCACTCCTCATAACCCAGGCGGGTAAAATAAACCAATAAAATGACAATTCATCTCGACAATACTTGTCGTTGTTCTTGGATCGATTGCCCTGGCAATATTCCGGATTTCATAGCCGTGTATTGCCGTGCAGGCGAGGTGGGCTCAGAGCTCCTTAACACTGGCTAGAGTGTTTCCTGTAAATGGAAACCCAGTCACTGGCGTTCAGGTCGCAATATCAACCCTTGACGAGTTTGTCGACAGTTGATTCGACCGGGGAATCATAAGGAAAACGTCATTTTCTCATGGCACGAAAAGCTGTATGGTGATGTGATAGAGATGCAGCAGACCTTGAGAACGCGGGCATCGGATGCATGCTCGCGACGCATGCTTTTTCAGAGGCAGATCATTTCCTAGCCGAAGCTGCGTGGGCGGCAAGCCCACTGATGATTATTGGTTGTTGGGAGGTTGATCAAACAAAACTGCCCGTTACAATTTATATATTTTTCTCCATAGAGTGAATGAAATGTGGATTGAATCCTTTCTATTCTGTTGGTTTGCACTCTTGACGCACCGCCTTTCCTCCCCTTTCAATGGGCTAATAAAGGGAAACCCGAGCGACAATTGAATAGAGCGATCCGTTTCCTCCATCGGATCTGCAAGTTGAATTATCTCCGATTGAGTGCGGGTATGTACGGTACGATTGTAGCACATCATTGCTTAAAATAGCTGAAGGTGTACTCCTGGCAAAGAAAAAAAAAAAAAAAAAAAAAAAAAAGTGGGGGGAAAAGGACCTGAGCGTATCCATCATCTCTTTGAGCTTCTCGTTTAAAGAATCAAGGGAAATCTTACACAGCGGATTGCGAGAAGGATGAGAAGTTAATGTCTCATGGTATTCAAAATGAGTTCCCTGTTTCTAGCTTTGGTAATGAAGTGATAGAAGTGATGATGGGTTGCAGCACTGCTCTGGCCAAGTTTAATAGAAATCGCAGACGGTGTAAGTTTAGCATGAAGATTCGGACGTTCAGACATTCGCAAAACACTGATTATGACTTTTTGAGATACCGATGGACGGATCATTTTCTGAGCCAAACTTCAGACAATACGGAAGATCTATATCATGCTTAGCAAGGAAGAACTGGATATACCATGATTCACATTCACCATGACACACTTGACATGAGAGATATTGTTTTATAGCTTTCCAAAATCCCGAACAAATGCTAGTATGGAAATGCGATATGTGCAGTCCCCCGCACCGAGTCGAAGTTTACAAGTTGATATGGTATGCTGTAATTGGTCTATGCAAGAGGCGATTTTTGCAACATTGAATCTCCTCCCTCTCGGTTCTTCGCTTGGGATAACTCCATTCGAGTTATTTGCAAACGTCGGGACTGTATTTTCGTTACAGCGTATGTAGGTAGCGGCGGAGATCATGGAATCCTCCAAGGTCCAAGGATCATCTCGAAAAATCAGCATCAGCAAACTCGACCTCCTCCTTTTTATTTTTTTCCCCCGAGTTACAACCGCCCCTCTAGCCACCCACACCGGCTCCTCCAACAGTGGTTGTGGCACCGCTCACACTTGACAGGTTGCCTGCTGAAGACAACCAGGTGTGATGATCCAACATGCTTGCTGTCTGAGTGCCATGCCAGCCCAGGCCATGAAGGAGGACACGGGGCACAACCGTCGGGGAATTGGGGGAAAACGCAGCTCTTGATCTGCCAGTTAAACCCGCGTGCTGGCTCCATGAGTCGCCAAGTTCCGACCCTCCAGGCCCTTTCGGGTCCGACAGGGATGGGCCCAAGGATGCTGCACATCGCTACGTGGTGGTCCTAGTTTAGCTTTGTAAATCAATCTTATTCTCTCCTAGCACGGCGAGATCAGTCCAATCGCGCGACCATGATTTGTGAACGGTTCTCAACGCTTGAGCTAACGGTCCCAAGGGAAATTGGACATTCCTCGGCGTCCCGTCCCTTGTTCGTCTCTGGTGGATCTGCGCTAAGAGCAAGCTTGAGGGATAGACGGATCGCCACCTCTTGTAATTTATGGTCCTTTTTACTTTTTAAATTCCTTACATTTTCTCTTGGTTTCCACTCAGTTTCTGTTCTGTGGGAGTTTCTCGCTAACCAGCCACTTAGCTCTCGTTTAGCCACGATAGGAGGCATGAAGAAAGTTTGACCCAACCAAGGTTCAACCTATGCTATTCTTGACTGCTGGTAAATAGTCCATGGCTTGCTTGGCTCTATCCCCCCGTTGTTGGCTGAGTGCGGAGATCGATCATGGCCTAAAAATGGCTGATCAACCATCAGCCAGTGACAAGAAAAACGCCCGGGCTCCGCGAGTCATGTGGAAATTGTCTAGGCCAGTTACAGATACGGTTTCGCCATCTCTTCCGCGCAAAGAGTCTCAGGACCACCACGAGGGCAGCTAAAGGTTCCTTTGATGGGTACCAAATAGCAAACCCCCCGCCCCGTGCGCAGAGCCGAAGTCAAGGGGGTATGAGCGGCGGAGAGCGCCACGAATTCATAAATTTCAAGGGAGGATCTGTCTCAAAAGCCACAATACGGATTAAGAGCTATTGCCTCCTGATCCAATCTGCACGATGGACATTTTACCCCAATTTTCCCCGTCACTGCTTCACCCGGAAGTTGCAGCTCTATTCTTGGTAAACACCATCAGTTAAAAAATGGTCAAAGGATGGTCTGATTGATATTGTCATTATTATGTTTATTTTGTATTGTATGTATTATTGGACATACATACAAGCATGTGGCACCGCCGACTCCAATAATAATCTCGGAGGCATTTTCGATAAGGGTCTTCAGTGGATCCAAAAGCTCCCCATTGTTGCCCCGTGATTGATTCAATAAGGACAGAAATAATAATCATTAATCCTCTCCTGAATCGGCGGAACACGCCGGGGCAGAGTGGGTATTATACTTATTCATTCACAAAGCACGCCCATCCCACAAAGAAGCCCCATCGAAATGATCATCAAGCTCGGTAAACAATTCAAAATTGACCCCAACTTTACTCCGCCAGAAAGGAGACGAAAAGTATCTTCCCCCCTAGTTCTCTTTCCCCGCTGGGTTCTCGAAGATCTTTGGCTCTAGTGTTCGTTTACCCTTGTCAGGCTAAACAGTTTCCTGCTAATAATCCACCCGTAGACTGCACTTGAACTGGGCCAGTCCGTCTCCCATATCAACAAGTCCTGGCCCCCTTGTCCTGAGATATTTTGACCCGGTTCGTCTCAACTTTTCCTGGCTGCTTTTTCTGTCGAACTCTCTCTGTCCGCGCCTCATATCAACCATATTCACCATATTGAATTTCTAACACACACTCCCGATTAAGTCTTGGGCACCATTTCTACTCTCTATCATCAACCTTCAATTTACTGGCATTGCCGAAGCCATTGGTCAAGATGAATTTGTCCCACCTGGTCACCAGTTATAACAGCCCCCTTTCGACATCCTCACATTTGGAAATCTCCCAGAAGCGTCAATCCTTACACAGCGAGCCATCAACGTTGTGCGTGCCCGATGGATATTATGATCGCAATGCGTCGAATCTTGCATACGTCCGCTCTCCTCGGCCGCCCGTAACTCCGCCGATCGAGGAACAGACCAACTTCTCTCTTCCTTCGATAACGACTTTACTGCAGGATGCACACAATCTTCCTCCTGTCCGTTTAGCTAGTACGGGTTGCCGTTCCAACATTTTTCTTTATAACTACTAACACTGGTCAACAGAAAAGCAACGCCAAAATTCATTTCCATCTAAATATATAGATCAAAAATCACAAAGATATGAAGTCAGCCGTGGGCCGAGGATAGTTTTACCACCAACGCCTCCCCTGCATCTGGGCTCTGAATTTAATGGAAACAACCTCTCGCCATCTGGATCGTCACCATCTTCAGCACAGTCTCCTATCTCAGTTACAAATCTCACATATTCCAGTAACCCCACGGAGAACTACCACCAACGTAGGGTCTCCCAAGGATCATCCCTCCCTCATTCAGCCAGGACATCGATCTCTCTCACTTCTCCAATCTCCCTTACAGAGAAGTCTTACGCATCATCCTCATGTCTACCCAACAGCTCAGCTCCGTTTGCTTCTCCGGTTGAACCCCCGGCCAACCCCTCAGAGTACTACGGTCGTCCGTCGCATGTCCCCACTTTCCCTCCACATATTCCCTTTCTGTTGACTCCCTCTACCCAGCAACACCATCATCATTCGATGATTTCAACCTGGCAGCATCATCACTACTTCCCGCCATCGAACGCACCTCCGTACCCGCAAAACCATGATAGGTATATATGCCGGACATGCCACAAGGCGTTTTCGCGTCCCTCAAGTCTTCGGATTCACTCCCATAGCCACACTGGCGAGAAACCATTTAAATGCCCTCATGTCAACTGTGGCAAGTCGTTTAGTGTCAGGAGTAATATGAAACGACACGAACGAGGCTGTCATACGGGCAGACCTACGCAAACTGCTCTGCTTAATTAGAGCAAGAACAGTACCCATTTCAGCTGGCGGGAAATATAACAGATTCATCCATTGCTCATGTATACCAATAAGGGCTTGAAAATCAGATTCGATACCATAAGACACTATTCCAATCCTCCTTTTGCAAAAGGGATAGATTCACGTGACCATAAGCAGCATTGAAATCACCTTTGCATTTGATGGTTTAAATGCTACGGAAAATCTTGGTTCCCAGGATATTCAAAATGGTAACACTTTGAAGGAACCAGAAATTTAGACTAGATCACCCGTTCCGTGGCCAACCAACTTTCCCACAATATCATATCATTCGGGCCATGGCGGAATGACAAACGGATGAACCAAAACTTGGGCCAACACTCTTATGGACGCGAAGAAAATCTTCCGACTTTGTTCAAGGATCCCTTGCATCCAAACACATCTATGGGATCCGATCCGCTCTTTGGAAGGTGAATTGAAATCGAGACCGGGGCTCAGCGCAAATTGAGGGACATTGCCCAACCCAATAGGGGCTATCGAAAAGGCATTTTGGAGCGGATTGCATTTGGCTGAAATGGAAGAGAAGGTATTGATGTACAGCGAGAGAGTATCTCCTTTCATGACAGATGGGAAAGGGGAAAGAATGAGAGAAATAAAAGCCCTGGTCCATCCAGTCACCTTTGACTCATTCCAACAATCATATATCCCGAATCCACCATACCTTTCTCGCCGATGTATTATTATTATTATTATTATTTTACCCATTTCTTGCTTTTTATGTATCCAGATTTGTCATTACAGTTTTGGCCAACCTCATATATTCACATTCTTAATAATGTATCTATATCAAAAGACTAGTTAAATGTCTCCGGTTGCCTACCACCATTATCTAGAGTATCTACCACTTAATTCCGGTTACAATAGTAAACTTAGAGGAAACATTTATAATGCGATAGTATGTTTATCTCTAACATCCCTCGTAAACATCGTCATACATATTTGCTCCGAATTTGATGGCTTGATAACATATCGAGATACGACACTTCTGGACGCTCACCATGCTATTTCAAGCAGTTTTGAAGCTGAAATGAATTGGTTATTTCTGAATATGCCATTAATTGGCTTTATCAACACCACCTTATTTCATACCCGCAAGGGCAATTGCATGTATGTCAAATCTATATGGATCCCTCCATAGATGTAAAACGTATTTCAATTTTACTGGAACAGACTGGAGTGGACAGAAGAGGCGTACACATGACTTTGCGCATGGAAAGTCAGCTCCGCACCAGTGACTGCATATATGGACATACATACGGATATGCATGCAGTATGCAATGTAAGAACACGTAGATTCATTGTGCCTAACACCCGATTTTGAAACTTAACGGGCTAATATCAGTCAGTCTGAAGGAAGGTGTAAGGCCGAGAATAATGCTAGGTGCAGATATATAAACAGAAGTGAAAGGATATCCTTTACATGGAAGAGAGAAGCTATAAATAGGGAATAAATAAATGCTCTGTGGCTCCAGAAACATCAAAGTTGTAAGGGTTATAAGAATGAAGGATTGAAGATAGAGGAGAGGGGTTTGGTTTTGCTCACTCCAATTTCAGCGACAGTTGAGAAGTTAAAAAAGATGAGATACCATGAGTGAAAAAAAATAAGAAATAAATAAAATAAAATGAAAACTGATAATAATATTAAACGAATGTCTATCCCAGACGCCCGCACATACTATTATGCCTCCAAATCAAGTTTCTCCAAAAGTCGATCTAGTTTAGCCAGTAAGATTTGGTAGTCTGCAGCATCTCTTGCAAACTCGTCTCCTGCAGGATGCCCATCCAGAGTTCTGAAAACGACACCCAAATTCTCAGAAGTTTGACCAGCTAGCGGTGGAGACTTATACTCGCTGACGTCAATGGCTTCGTCGTCTGGAGTTCTTGGGTGATGTTCACGACCAGGACAGGGAGAGTTTGAGCCAGAAGATGAGGCAAATGCACAAGGGAAATAAGTCCCAGATCCAGATCCAGATCCCCACTTGGGAATTTTGGATTTCGAATCGTTGGCAGAGTCCATTCCAGCAACTTCGTCAATCTTCGTCACCTCCTTCCGGTTTTCATCCATGATTTCATCCAAGCACGTATCTTCGAAACGTAGTCTGAATCTCTCGCTAAGATAAAATCGAATGTCGTCCACGAGTTCTATAGAGTCAGTTTCTTGTCTCTGTGTGATACGGGTCGCTGATTCTGCAACCAACTCTGAGAACTCTGGCAAATCTATATGTGATTCTAGACGGTAAGCAAGATACCGAGCAGCGAATTCCTCCAGTCTCTGGACGCGGAACAACCACCCAGCTCGGATGAGTTCGTAGATGTCTATTTCTTCATCCTCAACATCATCTTGAACTTCCTTTCCTGCTGCATCTGCCTGCTCAGCGGACTTTCCATCTTCAATCCCGGTCTGTTGAAGTTTCATATTTCCATTGCCAAGTGAGCTGATTAATACAGCTGCTTTTGATTTCAACCTTTCAATTAAGAGAAGATCCGCGGCATAGAGCACTTCGACTCCCAGTGACAAGGGAAATTCGACTTTGTCAGTGTATAAATACTTGAGGACAACTTCCAATGCCTCATGTGAACAGTCAACGGGTATTATTTGCAAATGTTCCGTTATTTGGGCTTCCTTAAAGCTGGAAGAAAACATAGCACTAAAAAAATCGGAGCGAAGAAGCATCGCCCGATGGACAGGAAAAAGCGTTGACGTCTGTTGTTGGTGTGGTCTGGGTGACGACGCACGCGATGATGGCCGAGGTGTTGGTCTCGCTAGAATGCGACTTGCAACTCTAACTTCTCTTTTATCAGACCCCAATTTGGTAGAATCCTTTGGAAGATTCAGATCTTCCGTGACAGGATCATCCGCACGAAGTAGTACATCCGCAAATATCTCATTGTCTCGTGACCACTTCACCTCATGGGCTTTGTTGGTTTCGATAACGAGTTTATGTTTGATCACATTCTCATAAAACCATGCTTCCATCTGATCGCGCGCCTTGGATGTTTCCTCTGTTCGGCGCTGCCTTGCTAATCGCCTATCTCCACTGTCAAGAATGGTACCAACCAGACCAGTGAGCTCAAGATGTTTGGCGACCCGTTCAATTCCAGCAAAAACTTCCGCGTCAGTAAGGCCAGTTCCCAGTCCCGACAGCTGCTCCCGTGGCATTTCCCCTAGATACAAATATCTCATCCCTGCGCTGAATGCTTCAGCGGGGATTGTGTTCGGAAGCTTCCAAGTTTTTGCAGTTGGGGCTATAGTGAGGTTTTTGGCAAAAGCCGGTGAGCGAGCAGATAGAACGAATTTATGCAATCGAAATGATTCACCAGCAGCCGTGACTACAATGTCTGCGGTTTGAGGATGGTCTCTCGATAATAGCGATGACAGGTGAGCGGCAAATGGTTGCAAGGGGTCTGAAGATTTCGAATAATCATATTGCAGGAGCAAATTCCGTATTCTCTCATTCAAGGCATTATAGAGACATCTAATTCCAAAGAGTGTTAGCAAAACATCCCATAACCGGAGCATTAAAACTCGAGGGGAAGTGTCACCTTTCACCCTGAAAAGTGTCGCGTTCACATAAGGCACCCGAGTCAAGGAGAAGTTGTACAACTTCATAATGGCCACAAAGGCTCGCCTTTCCATAAACAGTCACTTTTCAAATGCCATACGGTTTTAAGGGAGAAAACGGAGTATATCAACCTCAGATACAAATAGCAGCCGCCACGGTCTTAAGGATAAAGGGCGATACTTGGGAAAATAGAACGAAGCTGGTGCTTACAAGAATCAAGGGAGTGCAATCAAATAGATCCCTCGCATTGATATTAACTCCTTCCGCAATCTTCTCTTGACATGCTTTCAGGTCGCCTCTTCGACATGCTTCGCAAAACTCACGAAACGGTGGGCTCAAGTCAAGGGGGTTATCCTCCTGAAGCTTCCCATCTTTGATTAGTCTCCTTTCATTCTGCAGGCTTTTTTCCAGTTGGTCTTTGCGCAGAGTCGTCGCGGGCATATCTGATCCAACAAGAAGCACTTTATAAGACGGGCAGAATAACGCGGGAATCGGAGAACCGATGTTGATGGCGACGAATGACGACGATGAGGATAACTAGCTTTGTCAGCATGTCAAGACGTAGGCATTCTTATCTTATCAGATTCGGTAAGATTTGAGAGATCAGTGGTCACGTGTTTCCCCACAAACTTTAAATCCTTCACCGACTTTTTGTTTGTGCTGTTTGCGCTGCGATTCGAAATAAATACGTCAAAAAATCCGAATGAACCACATACTTAGAACCTTCGAGAGATACAACATATCCTTACAGTTGGGTTTTATTCTTGAGAAAATTCTAGTTGTATATGTGTATAGGTGAGGAATGTAAACATTTTATCAACCCTCTTTTGACAAACGTCATTGTTAGAACAAAATTTCCCTCTGAAACGCTAGTGAGTGGCAATATGCACACCGCCTTCCAAAAAGGGTTAATTATGTACACCCTCCCTGGTTGCTACGCAACGAAAGTTTGGAGATCTGTGGTTTTTCATACTGATCATTGATTTTCAATTCACTTTCACAAAAATCACCACTTGTTGTTGTACGGAATATACTAACATTACAGGTTCTTTGGGTCGGCCAGCTCGTCCATGTATTGATTTTGCTTACTTTTTCTCTTCCCTTTATCACGAACCACTTGTCAATCCTTGTTCGTCATGGCTATTGCGCTGGCAGAAGTCGACAAGTATGATGTGTTGGAAAGAATAGGTAGGAGAATCCATTCCTGTAAGAGAAGCTACGTCGCTAATATCATATAGGATGCGGGTCATTTGGTGTGATTCGGAAGGTCAGACGTAAGGTTGATGGCTATGTATGGGAACCAGAGTTACCGTCTTTCTCCACTTCATCAAGGAGCTAACAAATGTTGCCAGATCCTTTGCCGCAAGGAAATTAACTACGTCAAAATGTCACAAAAGGAGCGCGAGCAGCTTACAACAGAGTTCAATATTCTCAGTTCCCTTCGGCATCCCAATATCGTTGCATATTATCACCGAGAACATCTGAAAGCTTCCCAGGACCTTTACCTGTACATGGAGTACTGCGGTGGTGGGGACCTTGGGGTGGTTATTAAAAATTTGAAGGCCACTGGTAAATATGCAGAAGAAGAGTTTGTTTGGCGAATTTTCTCTCAGCTTGTGACCGCCTTGTATCGGTGTCATTATGGGGTGGATCCGCCGGAGGCAGGATCAAATGTGCTGGGCCCACCACCGAATAATAAGCCTTCCGGTTTGAAAGGAAAACAGGCTCAGATGATGATCCTACATCGTGATCTGAAACCAGAAAACAGTATGTAAAAGTACCAAATCCTGTGTTTCAAGCTCTGCTCTAACTGGCAATTTAAAAGTCTTCCTGGGCGAGGATCAGTCTGTCAAGTTGGGAGACTTTGGCCTGTCTAAGCAAATGCGATCTCACGATTTCGCCTCAACATACGTTGGAACACCCTTTTATATGTCCCCAGAAATATGTGCAGCCGAAAAATATACCCTCCATTCGGACATTTGGGCGGTTGGATGTATCATGTATGAACTTTGCCAGAAAGAGCCTCCCTTCAACGCCAGGACGCATATCCAGCTTGTTCAAAAAATCCGTGAGGGGAAATTTGCACCTCTACCGGATATCTACTCTTCCGAGCTCAAGAGCGTCATTGCTTCTTGTTTGAAGGTCAACCCGGAGCAGCGACCAGACACCGCTGCTTTGCTGCAAATGCCAGTTATTCGCCTAATGAGGAAGGAAAAAGAAGTTGTGGACTTGGGGATTTCGTTGCGTAAGAAGGAAGAAGCTATGTCGCTGAAGATGGAAGAACTTGAGCTCAGCTACTCACGTCTCGAAAAAGAAAAAGCAGCCATGAAAATTGAGATTGAAAACAAGGTTCGCCGCGAGTGGGAAGTAAAGGCAAGGCTCGAGATTGACCGTCTGGTACAACTAGAGCTTGAGAGGCTTCGGAAACGATTCGACATAGAAGTTCAAGAAAAAGTTGCAGCGGAGCTGCAAAGGCAAACAAAGTGCTGCTCCGCACTCATAGAGGAAACTGCCTCAGTTTCCTCAGCGGAACATTCTTGCCAATCGTCCATCGGAACTGGGAATACAGACGATAATTTCCCTTCATCCACAGATCTCAGCGAGCTGTCGCTTGACTCCCCAACGTCTGAAAGCAGCAAACCACTAAGAAGAGCAGGTAGAACGCCGTTCAACCGGGCGAAAACTATGCTTGAATCTCCTCATGATATACAAATGGCCGAACCCTCGCCAATGTCCATCGCTTCATTGTCCCTCTCTTCCCGCCGCACTGCCGGAAATAGTACTTCCAAAAATATATTTGCTGAAGGTGCGAGATCAAATCACAAGTGGGAACCCTGTCTAACATACACCTCTGATGATGAAGATGATATGCCTGATGTGCCCTCTCCCACGCGACCAAGGGTTAGACCTGATCCTATTAAAGCCCCTGTAAGACCTTTACTTCGACAGAATACCACTGCCATGATGCAGAAATTGAGCACACAACCCAGCCTGTTCCCATCCAAGGCTTCAGGACAACACCACCTTACCACTACAGTATCATATAACGATCTTAGACGTGCTGCCTCAGATGCAAAGCCTAAATCCCCCCGTCACCTAACTAGAATCCTGTCTTCTACAAGCCTCCCTGGAGAAAGTGTATCTCCCCGGCGCGCGGCAGCCAAACCACCCACATTTAAAGGAAACGGCGGGGGCGATGAAATGTTTAAAGCTGTTCTTCAGCGGAACATGGGTGGTCGGACGCTAGTCGAGCTTGCGCAAGCTAGAGCAGGAGGTAGAGCAATCGACGATGCGAAGCGAAATGGTGGGGATTCCAGAATTTCGGCAGCAGGTGTTTCTCCTAACACTCTGGGTACTGGTATTATGAGAACAGCTGAGAGAGACCCTCCCGCGACCTGGGACCCGGAGAAAGACGAAATGCCCAGCCCGTTTTTGGCCAGGGGTGCCAAGGTCATTCGCAATCTTCGGTAGAAATTCTGCCCATCTTTATACGTACTCATCATCATCATCCCTGTGACGCCCCTAGCTGCCGGTGTCGAAATCCTTTTATGAGTAGTGGTTCCTCCCTAGTCCACTATGTCACCTCAGGAGTTCCGTTAATAATATTTTGGAAAGTGGTGTCTTTGTGCTTATCGTTCTTTTGGGAATATTTCATATTTCTTCTTGCCTTGTCTACAGGTTCTCTCTCCTTACTTTGTTTCATGTCCCTGGTGTTCTGTGTTGGATTTCTATCTATCTTTTCAACTTGTGTTGAAGTGAGGAGTTTTCAGATGACTGCATTCCCATGGCATTGGATATGCCTATTCATTAGCCTCTGTTGTTAAACCGCTGATCAGGACTATCAGAGATAGAGTATTTAAACGGGGCTGTTAATATCCGTCTTTGCATTTATCCCCGTTGCCCACCACACATTATTGAAAGGGATATTGTTGTATCAATACTGTTGCAAACGGCACCTTCAGTCCCCAAACATTTTCATTTCATTTCCCGCAGCTGGCAGGATAGGGCCTTATAAATTTCGTATTCCTTTTTTACTTCCATATCTTTTGAAGTATAGGGATTTCCTTTTCTTCTTTTTCTTCTTCCTCTTTTTTTTTTTTTTTTTACCTCTCTCGTCCTATCTGCTATAAATAATATCCAGTTTTTGATAAATTATGCCCTTCTTTTATCGTTTCTTTTTGTTGTTTTTCCTTCACAAAGTTCGGATTTCTTCCCTTTACCAGACACAATATCTCTCCTCCTACTGGCTTTCTGGTGGCCCTCTCTCTTTATTTTCTAATTATTTCATTATTATTATTATTATTATTATCATTATTAGTATATTTTTTATCACAACCATTTCCTTCTAGTTCTCTTTGGATATTACCAGAGACTGTTTGCAGCAGCCCTTGTTCATCGTCGGTTGGGTCACAGAGAAGGAATCTCAGGGGGTTAGTTACTTACTATTCAAAGCAAAGCAGGAAGGAAAATTTGGTGTATCTATGCGTTTTTGTTTCCCCTTTTGATTTTTTGGTTGTATTGCATCTTTGTTGGGACTATCATAATTTCTTTACTTTGTATTATTGGAATTAGAGGTAAAAGAACTAATTCTGATACCTGAAGGTGATACATGCCCAACTCCCGAGAAGTGTTCTTTTGCAAAAACCCTCACTACCATATTTGCTTTCTCGATATATCTCAGTCCACGTTACATCATTGTTCAAGCCCCGGACATTTAGCAGTTAACATACTGTCCTCCTTTCCCTATGGGAAGACATCGTACAAGGCAGATAAGTGCGAACCGGTAATCTGGACCGGGCTGTATACTCCATGAACACCTGTTACAACGGTTTCTTGTTTACCCGGACATGGTGGTCTGTGTTCTCATGCTGTGAAACCATTGTGGCCTCTACCGGATTATGTGTGTGGTATGGCGCCCCTGAGGACGTGACGGTGCACGGAAACTTCGCAAAGCATTGGCCAACAAGTTGTTATCCGCCCGTTCTCCGCCGTAAATGACCAGATGATGGATATACATACATATATCAGAAAAGACAAAACGACATTATGAATGATAAGACTATTCTGACAACCTCCGTCATTAACCTATATGAGCTCCTTCTCATGACCAGCAGAACCCCAATAACAACAGACAAATCAGGTGTAGACAAACTCCGCCCTTACTAAGCTTTAGATATTCAAGTAATAATTTTATCTTCAGTGGGACGCCAAAGCCCCTGGCAGACGAAACATGAATTTTGACCGCGAACATAGGCTCATGTAATGTACAGTTACCCCGTTTATTCCTTTTCGCATTTCCGTCCTTATCAACTACTCTGTACCACTTTCCAACCGCACGGTACAAGGATTGCAAAAGGTGTTTGATCGACTAGTGGATGGACTAGGTGTCGAAAATGGTATTGTCCGATTGCAATTGCTATAGGGTCGGGGCAGTTTACCGGAGACTCCCCTCCAGTCGGATACAGCGCAACTACCATCTTGATTGATTTTGGTTGGTAAAACTGTTCAACACCTTCTAAAACCCGTTGCATCCATAGTTTTATCCTCTATCCTCAAATCCGTGACCATTGTGACACCGTCCCGTCCCTCACCAATTTATCCCCCTGGCCCACCTGATATTCCAATACAACAATCAAGTAGGGAATTTATTTGAGAATTAAAAGACAGAAGATCGCAATAAATTAATATACCATGACTATCCTCGTACTGATATCCCTCCTTAGTTAACAAAAGGCAGCAACCCGCAGCCCGTATCCTAGTCCATATCCCGCAATTGACCATCTTACATCATTGGCTTCGGCCCCGCGCTTTTGACTGCGCAATGCTGCCATGATCACTCACATCCTTCATGATTAATTGTCAGTTGCAGCACCACCTTCCGCATATCCGCCAAAACACGTGCGAACAGCGGGGTAAGAATGCATCGGGTGTTGATTCGCTTGTCCACTCGGATTATGTATGGCTGGAGTCGATGTGGGGGAAACATACGGTGTTGTGACGGTTTTTTGGAAGTTAATGGGGTGAAAGTTGGTTCCAGTGTGATGAGTGAGTGATGAGATGTTGATCGATTAAGATATGATGCGTGATGGGTGGTGGAATGGGTATGTTTTAATGGTAGTTGAATTTGGTAGCATTTGAGCGATGCGTTTCCATTTTCTTTCGATACTATGCTTGTATAGACAGGTGTCCAACAAGTAATTTCCCCAAATAATACGCCGTAAAGAAGACCGTTCCGTGATTAACTCACTTTCTCCATTATATGTATTTTATGTATGCGAGATATCAAATCCCTTCCAATGTGACGCCAGAACACCCAGGTATTTTGTGCATGATCGACAGTTATGTATGATCCGATAAAATGGAAGAAGAAAAAAGATGGGGAAGCAAACATGCATGAGAGTCACGAATGGCAAGAGACTAGAGATCTTCATCATCGACGTCTTCTATCTGCACGGTCCTTATTTTAGAAGTGTCCGCCTCTAGAGGCGTTGTAACATTCATCGCGGGAGATCCAGTTACACTTCCAACTTCGACAGATGACGCAGGTTGCCCGTGGAGAGCACCAGGTACATAACCTTCTTTCTCGAGCTGATCCATTTCCTCAGGCTCAACCAGTCTCCCAGACTGACCCTCAGCAGCCTCTATTTTCCTCCGCACAACTGTTGGGATAAATTTGCGCACAGCTTCTTTCCGCAGATCCTTGATGACTGGAGCCGCTTCGTAAACCGTTTTAGCTTCAAGCTTAGCTTGTGCAGCTGCAGGTGTAGTGGCAGCAGAAGCCGGCTGCATCTCTCCCCACCCTCTACCTTCGCCAAGCGGTTCCGTATTTGCATTGATTCCGCGTCGGGATGCATTCTGGCGCGGGATAGGTGGGGGTGTGTCTTTTGGCATGGGGATGCGTCGAACGCTCTCGTCCGTGTCGCTGCTTTCATTGCCATCCTCACCACTATGACGCCTCCATCGGCTATTCTCATAGCCATCCCTCCTTCTCTTCCCCAGTACACCACCGCCACGGCCTCGATCAGAGGCATGCGCTCCCTGTCTAGCTTCCCCTCTTCCAAACGTCGGGGCCCTATCACCAAGCGCTTCTCTGGCCTTCTTGACGGCGCGGAGATCCCTCTCAAGCTCTTCAAGATGTTTTTTCTCTGACGGTTTCAAAGGCTGCCCCGATTCCTCGATGGCCTTGAGATCGTTGATTTGGCGCTGGAGTCGGTCAGGGTTGCGACGAGCAAGCTTCTCATTGCGGCGAGCTTGGACCTCCGCCTTGCCTTTCTTAAGCGTTTTTTGTTTCTCCAACCGCCGTTGGGCCTGCGCGGGGTTGACGGAGCGTTCTTTGTCCTTTACCATTATCGAATGGTTAAGGGGTTTCTTTTTTTTTTTTTTTTTTTTTTTTTTTGTCTTCTTTTTCTTTTTTAATTCTTAATTTTTGTTTATTTTTTCCTACGAAGCAGTCAACTGGAATGGAATTGAAAGGGCATGAGTGGAGAGGAACTAGAGACAGAAAAATAAAAAACAATCAAGAAGCCACGTAAAAAAAAGGCATCAGAAGATGATATGCCCTGACCGCTGTGAATCGAAGGAAAATTGCTGCAGTAGTCGCTCTTGGATGTGGTTGTTGGTTGGCATGCACTGGGTGAAGCTGAGGAGAACTGACTCCGTGAGGAGGCGAGTTTTGTTTTGGCTGACGTTGACTAAATATTTGGGGTTAATACTTTAGCTGCCAACCACCCATACCGCGGGGGATCCTGCAGCTGGAGACTCAGAGAGAGCTTACAGCTATACTGCTACAACACCCACCCAACGAGTCAACAACAGGCTCTAGAAATGACTGTGCATAAACGAGCAGCTCCAGGCCAGCGGCTAGCAGGAGGAAAGGCAGAGAAAATCTTTTCTGGGGTTAATAAGGGATTCCACTGGGCCAATGGAATGTGCTCTAAAAGGCTTCCCGCCTTAGCCTCACAGGTTGGGCACCCGAAAGCCCTACGACTTGCACTGCAGCAGCATGATGCCACCCACCAATAATGCGCAGACGGTGGCAGGGGCTGGGGATACCGACCCATTGGTGCGTGCAGACGATCAGATCACGTTTGTTTCGTACTCCTCAACAATCTAGTCCAATCGTTAATATTATTTATTTTTGTCCTCTCGTCCGTCTTGTGTTTCGGGGTCTAGTGCTCTTTTTCAGACAGAGTACAGGACATCCGAGAACGGAGCACCAGTGCGCGCAGAAAAAGCCGTCAGATGAACAAGAATGTCGTTGAACCTTGGTCCGCCATCTATTCCCGGCCGACGGCGACATCGAAGCACATCGAAGCGCAAGATGCGCGTGTGACTTGCAGTGGCAGCCGGCTAGACGGTGATATGGACGAGGATTCTCGGGAGATGCGATGAGAGCATTTCTCCAATGTTACTACGTACATGATTACATACATACAATGCGGTGGTTATGCTAACTCAGTGCGGATGTGGATGCGAATTGACAGCGCCGGAAGGGTATTGATTGATTTGATATCATCTCATGCTTTGTTTCTTAACGGAAATACGCTCGAGTGTTAGTTTATCTATCAAATCAGAGCTTCAGCATCGATATCTGCCCTATTCCATTGCCCCTCTTCTCTGGTGGAGCGCAGATATATTCGTTTTTTCTGTCGCATCCAATCCGATAGGTAGTTATTTCACTATTTTATGTACTGAGGCAGCGATGGGGCATTTTCTTTGGATGGTGTGTTTGTTCGCATGGAAGCCTTTTTATAACATAAGGTTATGTAGTTTTAAATCGCGATGATATAGTTAGAATCGTTCACAATCGTTTAAATATCAATAGTAATTGTAATAGACTACGTCATGGATTTTTCTTCATAGGAGTGCATGGTGAATAAAGAAATGAGAAATTAATATTACCGATATCAATTACCTGGTGGTGCTTATTGTGAGAGTGTCTTCCCTTTGCTGTGAAAGGTCACCAGCTCAACTTGCCCAATTCTCCGAACCTCCATCCGCATCTCCACCCTTTTTCAACTTCATCCTTTTCATCTTCAACTCTCCCTTCCTGCATCCGCGATCTACTCCAGCCCCCTTACCCTCTCTTACTTCTCATATTCCTTCATCACATCCGTTCCATTTCCTACCCTTATCCTGTCCAGTCTTCGCCACCTCCGCAACGTCTTGAACGCTAAATCCGTGCGGCGGCTGTATCCTAATCCTGTTTACCAGCTTTGCGACCTACCTCCGATCTAGCCATACGCGACTATTGATCATTAGTGCAGAACAAGGCGCGCTTGAGGGATCACGGAGATTCCAATAATATAACTCTTTGACTTTCCCTTTCCCTCTTCAGCATCATCCCGCCAAGTCATTTCATTTGCATTGTTCTTCATCATGAACTACCGCCCATCTGCCCTTCCCATCTTGTCCCGTGCATCCGACGACCTCCTGTTCTAAGAGCATGTCTTTGCGCACCCATCAGCCAAATACCAGATGTCCGCGTCACCGTCCATTCCTGATGCCCGGTTCGGCCTCACCTCTGCTGAGATGCAGATGGCTGTGCATCAGCAGCAAATCGCCCTCCAAGGCAGCCGTGCTGGCAGCCTCGTCTCCCGGGGCAGAGGCATGGGGAGGAATAGCAACTCGAGCTCGCGAGCTACCAGTGCAGCCAGCGCGGCAAGCAGTCATGGCAGGCTGCTGCTTGACCCTGATAGCTTGCAAGCCCTCTATTATCAGCTTGAGAGTTTGTTAAGGGATATAAGGCGGAGAATTGATTATGTAGGTACAGACATGGACGTATATTTTCATTCCCGATTGGTTCTGGTTCATTCAAGTTAGATCTGGGTTCCTAACTGCTTATGTTACCGTTGCGCCTTATCATCTCACGCAGCATCACAATGCTATTTGATTCTCGTGTTTGAGAGCTTTAGGCTGACATTTCCCATTACCCATAGTTGAATGAACAATCAGAACTCTCTATTCAAAATACCTACGACCGAGCGGGCAATGTCGTCGCCAATGCCGACGTCGAAATTGCACGTATGCGTCAAATATTGGCGAATATTGACGAATTGGAAACTGAATTCGATAAGATCCGACGTATTAGAGATATCGTAAAGCAATACAGATCTAGAGTTGAGAGTCTAGACCACAGGTTGGATCAGGCTGCCCGCAGACGACGTTGATATGACATCCTCGTTCGTTTAATTTCACTTGCCCTATTTCCTTCGGTTTTGACATGGTGGAGGAATGAAGAATAAATCTATAATCCCCATAATGAAAGGTCAGGCGGGATGAACAACGCGATAGCCTTTTTTAAGATGTCACGAGAGAACGCCATCCCATCACCTATTTTTGCCGTGATACACTCCAAATGTCGCAATATATTGTCAGTTGCGAAACCGCGACCCATTTTCGCCCCTCCGACTGCTGGATAGTCCCGTTCCATTACACCGTTGTTGAATGCTTCTATCACTTGCTCCGAAAATAAGATTCTTCCATGTTCAGCTCAAAGAACAAAATAAGAGGTATCGGATATACAGCAATCCTCGATACCAGTCCTCACGGACTGCAACCTTTCCTACAGTTTGTCTACGATACGCGAACACCAGCACCGGAAATTAAAAGCATCATATTTGATACGCAACCCAACTCCGAGCGGTATGAACAGAAATTTATTTTCTGTTTGTCCCCTCATGGGGCCTATGAATCTGCTTCTACACTATCGATGACGTGGAAACGGGCTTAATAATCGATATTTATACGTCTATTTTTTATTGATTTCCGTCTTTAATTCTTTGCTCTGGATAACAAAATCTTCTAAGAATGGTTACATGCCTCACGGCCGAGCTTTTTGATTGATTGCTGTTGGAACCCTCGTTGTGGGTGGGCAGGATGCTGATGCGGAATGACTGAGTTGACGAGACGATGCCATGCCACATTTACCCTCCTTCGGACATTTTCTATGTTCCCAAGTTATTTTTTGTTCCATTCTATAATAGCTTTACCGGATCCCGCTCCTCAGTGAATGTCTTGTGGGTGTTTTGATGGCCTTTGTGCACGCAACCTTGCCTGTTCTAATGATAACCTCTTTCTACCCATCCTGGTAATTACCAATTGCTTATTATGTTATCTGTGTGTGAATGTACAATCTCCTTTTCATTCCTTTCCCGCGTCACTTTCTTCCTATCTAGCTTTCCAAGCAATACCAGCCCCTTCTTGTTTCGTTTTCAGGTCTGAAATTATCCGCCCTTGTTTTTCCCCTTTCCATGGCGGTCGATTCCGTCATGTTCAATATCCAACTTTTTCATTCCTCCCTCTCCCTTTTCTGCTCAAGCTACCCTGTCTTTCTGGCCTTTCCCACCTCCCTTAGCTCCAATGTTGGCGCTTAGCGTATTCCTGTAAACTGAGTATTTCTCCCTTGTCAAACTCCGTGTGTCTATATGCTTAATCAATGAGCTAGAGCAAATATCATGCATGTGTTGTGTGTTCAGCTCTCTATTATTCACTTTGTATTATTTTCAAAATGAGAGCTCTGTAGTTCCCCTAGACATATATAATTTCTTTACATCACTATTCTAATTCATGTTCAGAGTTTCTGTTTGCAGAAGTGACTTTGTCATTCATATGACAAAATACAAAGTCTGGAGAACTATGTGAGACATAACTATTAATTAAAACAATTCTCTATTTACAATATCATAATTTTAATCAGCTTCAGAAGTTATGACAGAAAGACACAGATGCAGATGCATGTGTAATATTGCATTATTTCAATAAATTAATCATTTGATGATGCTTTGTAAAAGTATTTATGATTTCTGTCATGCTGTAATTATGATTTTCTGCATCATGCAGAACTGAGCAATATTTATTCAATTGCAAATGGGTTCACTTGGTGGTTCTATTCATTATTGACATGGTAATTGATATTTTGATTTTTTCGCTCTGCTGTCTGATTCCTTCTATCAAGACTCGAGGTAAGGCGATTGAAGGAGTCAGGTGAAGAAACACATACATCCCATATCGAATATAGGCGGTATTCGAGTAATATCATCGAAAGATATCCTCCATCGCGATATGTCCAAGGTTCAACGCGCATTGCCAATATCAACTGAAGCTACCGGCGTACACGTCTGCGCCCGGGTGGTCCTGGTTTCAATGTCTCTTTCTTTCTCTCTCTTCCTCCTCTCCGTAAGTTTCAAGCTCCTTTTCTCAGTTTGCGGGTAACGTTTTATATAGCCGCAGCTATTGCAGCGGACCACGCGAACGTCAGCCCACGGCTTCTTTTTCGAACCCCCACGACTGAAATTCTCCGTCCTTTCCACACAGGTTGCGTTAGGAATCAGCAACGAGTCGCAGAGCTTGCAGACAGATCGCTTGATATCACGGGGTAATCGCAGCTGGGACTTAAGTGATATCCCTCGCATCTGAGACGCCAGCTGGCGGGAGAGTTTTGATATTTGGACGTGCTGTGAAGTGCGGGGCTCTCCAAATCCCGCGGGGTCCATTCCATCTTGATGGACCATTGCGATATCTGTCGTGTCATTATAGGTGGCAGCTGTGGCGCTATTAAGTGGCAATTGTAAGTTTGCCATCTGCGCTTGTTCCTCTGTATGTGCGCGACAGCAGATGTCCTGACACCGCGAGTTACCGTTGACATCGCCCTTTGGGCGAGATTTTGATACAGAGGCTGATTGCAAGTAGTTGGAAGCTTTATACAAAAATGAAATCCGCGCACGAATATGACCCTGCCCGGCCCCCCCAGACCCCCTTTGAGGCTTAACCTTTGCCATGGTACTCTCAACTCGGGTATACACTAGAATATACAAATGTGATTTGGAGACCGAACGTAGGGAGATAGTTTATATCACGTGAAACTAAAACTGGAGTTCTCCTGACGGAACGGAAAAAATTAAATTCCATATTTTCATCACGTTTTATATTATACCTAAAACGGCTAGTGTGTCTTCTTCAGCTTAGTGACAAACCCCCAACCAGGCTTCAATCATCTCGTTCCTCTCGACGCCTAACACTTCACTTTATTTTTTTTCATCCACCTCTCTCTTCTCCCTTTGTCTTCCATCTCCCCTGTCTCCATCTGTTATAAGCATCTCGCCAACTTGATCTCTTTCTTGTAATATCTGCTTCAGGATCATATCTAGAGTCCCTACTACAACTTACGACCACCCAGCAGCGTGCCTAACCGCCAAATTTCGCGACCAACTTTTTGCCTCGTCCTTCCAAGATGTCTCACGAAGAAGATCTCATCGATTATTCCGATGAGGAGCTTCAGGCAACTGATGCTGCTGCAGCCTCCATAGCCCCAGCTGGCACCAACGGTGCTGCTCTTAAAAAAGAGGGCGACTTGACGGTATCTGGCGTGAGAGCCGATAAGAAAGGAAGTT